TAAAATCACCCGAGGAGCTCTTAAAAAAAAAAAAAAACAAAACACTAATCAGGATCCACATCTATACATTATATGTTTAGCAAACTGGCATGGGGGTTTACTCTGGTATTTTTTTAAAGGGGGCTGCAGGCTGCAAACCATGCCATCCAAGAAAAGAACTCTTCACAATTTCCAAAAGCCACTCACTATCACTGGTGGAATGGTGGAGATAGAAAGAAAAATGGAAATCCAACGGTTGTTGTTGTTCTTGTTCTGTAAGTCATCTCCATCACAGCTTTGGTGAAGTTATTCAACTGTTTGTTACTATGTGCTTTTAAACAATCAAAAAGATCTGACAAAAAATTCATGCAACAGTAAAGAGAACTTAGACAAAAATAATGTTGCTTGCCAATGCACACCTCTGTAACACCTAACTCCTACTCCACAGTCCCATTACCAAGTTGTATCCTTTAATGGCTTCAACTGTGAGATGAACTCATTCCATGTTCTACTGCCATTGAGAATAAAATGCTTCCTACAAAGATGTAATATGAATAAATTTAACATGGAATCAATAGTTATGTCTGTAATCTTTCCAAAGAAAACAAATAAATACTGATTTAGAGTTAGTAACTTCAAAATTTATATCTATCTTCTCAATATAGGAAGTCAGTTTATTTAATTACCTAAAGCACAAGAGCTTCATGATATTGTTGTATTGGTCAGCATGATTTGTTATTCAAAAGTCACACATCACACTAGACATTAGCAAACATCATTAAACACACGTTATAGTCATTGTGTGTAGACTGCTTAACATCTACTTCTTGAATTTATAAATAAAAATTATCTCATATTTCAATATAGTGCTGAACTTCCACAGTTGGGTCATTGATTGGTAAGATAGAATGCTGATCTACTTGAATGAAAAACAAACAAACAAACAAACAAACAAAAAAAAACTCCACTCTACCAAGAGATTCTCTTGGGGAAATACCTTGTACACTAACCAGATATAAATCTTCCCCAGTATGCATTTAGGTCAAACACATATCTACCACCTGGTGGTTAGATTTCCAAGGACACAGATTAACATTTAATCAATAGCAGGTCCATTAAAAAGAATATATATAATCTCAAAATTGTGCTACCCATCTTTTACCTAAGTTTCAGAACTATCTATGAGGATATTAGGAATGACAAGCAGTCCCTCCCAATTTTTCTATATGCCTTACCATTTATCCTTTCAAAAAGTCAAGCCAGCAGAAAGTGAGAGACTTAACTCTATGTTATCTGAACCAGTAGCAGCATCACTTTCCTGAAAAGCACATTACCTTACCATGAGGGTATTCACAGAAAAGCAAGGCCTTAAGAGGTCCCAATTACACTGGGGGTGATGATAGTAGGCTTTTTAAACAAAGATCCTTGAGAAACTGATTCTTTAACTGTTGTTGATAAGAAATATATGCTTAACACCACACTTTCCTTTTAGAAAGATACATGTGCTGTCTTGTGAAGTTCAGCTTCAGCTATTCAGAGAAATCAGTATTTTTAGCTCATGAATTTTCGTGAAAGTGTATTTCACTTTAACCATCAGAAAGTTCTGTATGTACATATCAACTTCAATTGTTATTTACATCTTAAAAATGTATTATAAAGTTTTCTTTGTATCTCATATCTGACCTTTATATTTGCCACATCAAATCTTTAAGATACAAAAAAAGCAAACAAATCCTTTTCTGTATGAACTGAGATATCATAATTAGTTATCCTGATTACCAATGCATACAAAGATGGAATACTACTAAAATTAAACTATAATGTTTGTAGAATTCAAAATGCTTCTACTTATTTATAAATAATGTAGACAATTTAATATGAATCCATGCATTTTTCATATTTGAGCTAAATTTATAAAGGGCATTTAATTGTAAGGATTTTGGATATAGAATGCTAAATGTCATATAATTACCCAGCATGTTTTAGCAGATTAAAATATTTCTCTGACTGTCTACTGTCAAATAAATATGGAATTCCTTTTGTGGGGGTTTATCATCAAACCAAATGCTTTATACTCAGTGTGAAAATTCAATCACAATTGTCAAAGATCAAGCTGCTTCTTCTGATAAGAAACATGATGAGATATCATCTTGTTCAATATATGCTTTCAACTTGACATGTAGGCTAATAAAAAATACAAAGTTGTAGTATTTATTTTGTTTCTTGCACACCAGAAGGCTCCTAAAAGGGATGATCAAAATACCCAGTATCATTGCATGAAAATGCAGTCAATTCTTTATCTGGAGACAGATTAACTGGTTTGTAGACTAACTATAGTAAAATAACAACAGCACGTACTGCATTTGTAAAAGACTTTTAAATTCCTATATAGCAATGACTGTATTTCAATGAGAGGATGTCTATTTTCAACTACACAATAAACTTAAGACACCACATTCTGTCTTTTGCACTGACTTTCCTTCATTCAGCAGCTATTTATTGAGTATTTACTAAGTACCATGCACTGTATGAGGCTATTCCACTTCATTAATCAGACACCGTCCTCTGCCAACAGCTCTCTGTAGAGGAAGGCATGAGGGAGGGCATATAGCCAAATTTTAAGAGCCAACTTTATTTTTGAGATGCAAAACCTAAAAAGGAACAGACACTGTGCACTTGGGAACAAATGCCAGTAGAATTGCAGCTGTGGACTTAACTTCTCCCCCACTCTTTCCTCATCCCTGTATTCCTTCCTTTGCTTCCCTTTTTAGGGAAAGCCTGAAATTGGCAGTCCTGCTTTCCTCCTCCTTTTCTATCCTCCCAGCGCATCAACACCAAACTCTAACAATTCTCTAGAGGTTCTTAAATTTGCACACCTCCATCCGTCCCTTCTGTCATCCTATCTCAAACCCCTTTTGCCAACACATTACCTTGGAACTGTATAAGCTCAAAACATATTAACAGTTACAGAGTGGACAACCAAATATTTGCTAGATAACTGGAAAAGGCACTTCAATCAAATGCCCTTTAAGGTATTAGGATTAAAATAAAAAGAAGCAATAAACAACAAAACTCTAAACTCATTTCCTTTTGAGCAAACTGTTTCAAACATGTCAGGGACACTATTTCCCTCCAGCTGGCAAACCTAGAAACCTAGCAGTTGTCTTGGATCCTTCCATCCAATCTATCCTGTATTATCTTCCCCATCTAACATCTCAGGTCAAGTTCCTCTTTCACTCTCCCAAGTCATGCTCTGCAAGTCAGCTTACCATCAAGTATCTCCTTACTAGTACCTAGTACCCCTCTAATTAGGTGCTGTCCATAAAATTTTCTGAAATCACAGAACCATGCCGTATTTATGGTGCTTATATGTATGGACATTGAGAACTCAAAATGTAGCAACTGTGATTAAGGAATTAAATTTTTTTATCTTAAATTTTAATTAAGTCTAACTTAAATCTTCATGCATGGCTTCACAGCAATGGTACTGGACAGCATAGCTTAGTAACCACCACTAAATTGCTGATGATATTAGCTTTTTATAAAATATGTGATCACATCACTTGCCTTAGACTAGAACTAACATGTCTACATCAAAACTCTACCTCTGAGAAGGACATTCAAGACTATTGATGATCCAATCTAATTTAACACCTCAGTCCTATTGTTCCCCTATTCCTGTCCCTTCTAGACTCCAATACTAGTAAAACACCCTTTATACTCACACATACTACATTATAAGCCTTTATGTGAACCGCTGACTCTTGCTTAGAATATCTTCCCTTCTCATCCTCAAATTTCTATTTCTTTCTGAATATTTACTCCCTTGTAGCTAAGCTAGCCTCTCTGGTTGAACTCCGCAGCCTCAGCTTTTTCTATTTAGCTCCATTAAATCACTTGACCAGAATTAGTGGTTGATGTGTTGGAAATGTGAGTTCCATAAATGCCAGGTAAACATTAGCCTAGGCACTAAAGAGATGATCTGGTAAATCATTTAGCCCAGAATTTCACCCTAAGTCAGTGCTCAATATATGTTGTAGGAATTGTGTCACTCGATCAAATATAGCAGCGTAAGAAAACAAAAACAGGAAAATAAAAAGATGGAAATGGGAGAGAGGAAAAACAAGATACTGCTACCAATGGAAGGCCAAATTCAGGGAAATTTTGTAAAAAAATACAGTGTAGGCACCAAAAAGTGATTATTCAGTAAATGCAGAGTTAAAACTGAACTTGTTTCTCAAGTTCCTTACCTAACTGGCAATAGCAATAACCAAATTCCTTAATCAGGAAGTATAGATGTTATGAGGTCAAGAATGAGAGAAAGCTTTCCTTGTGATGTGTAACTCAGAAGAATTTGTTGTAAGCAGATCAATAAAGCATTACTATGGCCCACTCCTCAGCAAAGAGCTCTGTTACATAAAACATTGAATGCATTTGCTCTTAAGGAAATTCAACCTGTGATAGAATCAAAGAAGGAAAAAAAATCTAAACGTAACAATTCTCATATTCTCTAAAATTAGATTCTGATAAAAACATTTCAAAACTATCAATGACTTATAAGGAATATTTGTTCCTAATATAATCACTTTCCCACCATATAGTCTTATTATTCTCTCCTTTTAGACTGCTTACAGAAATATGTAGAAACATCTAAATAAATTAAAAATATTAATGTCTATCCCAATTACCACCATATACATGTACCTGAACTGAAGAAAGACTAACTTTAAATGATATTTTAATGTTCTATTTCATTGGTTTGAGAAGGCACAGGTTTATGATATATTTTTGTTATTAAATGAAATCTGTCAGTTGGATTTGCAGATCAGAGAAAATTAATATTTGGATTTAGTTCAGAGGTTGAGTAAATTAGCTCAGTTCACTCTAAGTTTGACTTCATGGTTCAGTTCAAGTTCTTGATAATGAGCACATCAAAATAAAAATATTTAAATAATGTAATCAGGGCTGACATTTAAGAGTAAGTGTTCAGGCAAATACGTGTTTTTTAAAAACAAACTCACTTTACAGAGGGAGCTAAGGTTAAATCCGAAGGTTTGAGCATTCCGGGAGCCGGCATTCATGTAGTTTCCCATTAGCAATACAAGTTCCAGCAACTTGCTGAAGCTTTTGCTCTTCTTTATCTCTTCACAGGCAGTACTGACAGCCATGATGTCAGGTTTGATGTTGTTCACCTGCTCTTCAAACTGAAGCTTAAAGAGAATAGCACTGAGCCGTGGCCGTAGTCTCTTCACATTGCTCATCTGATTGAAAAGAAAATAGCAGATTTCCTTTAAAATGCATGGTATACTTTAGTACTGTACGACTGCAAGTAATCTGGGATGATTTATTGGTATGACAGTACCAAAGAAGCAATATGTCCCTAAAACTGATGGCAGGAAGAGAGAAAAGCATTGCTTATTTTTGTAAGGAATCCAGAATCATCCTCAAAAAGAAAATTAACAATTTAGATGCCTAATGAAAAGAAACCTTTTAACATATAAGAAAGTTTAATTAAGAAATAAACATTTGTTTTTATCTAAATTTTAAGAAGGTCACAAGATACACAAGGCACAAATTATAAAGCATTCAAATCATTAAATAATCTTTGTTCAATACTGAAATATACTGGGTCATGTTTAAAACATATTCAAAAGGTCTAAAGAGGGTTTGTTTTCTTCAAATAGCAATTGCTGTCCTCAGAAGCCCTGCTGACTAACAGTATGCGTTAGATAGGGAGTAAATAGGTCCCAATTTGTAGTAAATTGACTTTCTTCAGAAACACAGGAAAGTAGAATGACTCCTGGCACATACTAAATTAGCAAAATCAGAGGTAAGAAATGCAGGAGTAGCAGCCGACAGAAATAGTGCAAAGCCATGGGTCTAGCACATGCCAGGTTAACCCTGTTAGGGACTCTAGGTTTCTGCTGGGAATGTTGGCTGTTGAAGGTGTTAAAAAGAACACAGGGGCAAGTTCTCACCTTTAAGCTCACTGTTTTGTCAACACACATAAAAGGAATAACCACTTACCTCTAAGCTGCAGTCTTACTTGCATTTAGCTAGATATGAATTCCCTGACCAAATTCATTGGGAATTTTAGACTTAAACATCTGGATGGGGTAGTAATAGTAAAATTCTTGAAGTCCAATAGTTACTGTAATAGCAAAGATAGTTTGAGGGGTCAGGGGTTGTGGCACAGTGGGTTAAGCAGCTGCCTGAGGCCCCAGAATCCCATATGAACACCAATTTGAGTCCTGGCTGCTCCACTTCTGATCCAGCTCCCTGCTAAGGTGCCTGGGAAGGCAGTGGAAATGGCCCAGGTGCCTGGGTCCCTGCACCCACGTGGGAGGATGGAGTTCAGGCTCCTGGTTTCCACCTGGCCCAGACCTGGCTCTTGCGGCCATCTGAGGAGTGAGCAAGCAGATGGAAGGCTGATCATTCTCTGTAACTACCTCTCTACCTCTCTCTGTAACTCTGCCTTTCGAATAAATAACTCTTCAAAAAAATAGTTTGATTGCAGGCCAGGGAGTGGTGGCGGGGGACAGAGATAAAACATGATAGGCTTAAAATAAGGACTACTTCTTTTGATCACAGATCCTAAACAAAAGGCTGCAGCACTATCTGAAGATTGGAGGATGCCAGATACAATGAAAATCACAACTGTTCAAGATGGCAGTTGCCTACAAAATGACTGGTATTTAAAATAAAACACACTATACAAAATATGTTAGCTGATTCATTGCCAAACAATATAAATATCCAATTTATACCTAGCATTCTTTCCAGCCACTTGATATATTAAATGTTTGTGTGTATGCAAGCAAGGCTTTATGAGCTCAAATAATGTAGTTAATAAGGAGTCTACTTTACAAATAAGCAATACATTTAAATTCCTTGAGTTCAAGGAATATTTTCAAATTCTCCTATCTAGCAAAAACTTTTTTTTTTTTTTTTTGCCCCTGGAAGACTGAAGTATTCTAAGCTCAACAAACACTAATGTAAGAGTTTTACAGAGTTAATTAAAGTGCCATAAAATTGTAAAAAGACAAAGGGTTAACCTATTGGGCTACCAATTCTTTTAGGGCATGAATCATTGTTGGTGGACACTGTATCTGCAGCACAAAGAGTGAAGCAGAGCTTACTTCTCACAAGGCAAATTGATTTGTCTTAAAATACATTGAATCTCCTCAAATGGATTAACTTCCCTGGATTTTTTCTTAACATTAAATGGATCAAATGGGAGATATCCATGTTGCACTGGTAATATGAATATTGTTCTGTTGCAATTATGTGTCTATCCTTTAGGGTAGTGAGATGTACAAAAGAATGCACTATTAATGGCCATTCAAAAGGTCTATAATGGGCCCAAGGCACCTGTATTTGGTCAGTGCCCTTATTCGGGATTATGAAGTCAGGTGTCTGCCACTTTGAAACAAACATGAGAAGGAATTCTCCGGTAGCACATGAAGAACATTATTATTATATATTAATGCACTATTTCATGCACAAAGAGGAAAAAAACCGCTTAAATGCCTACATTATACCGTCCCAAAATATTAAAGCTTTCCTACTGACAAGCTAACCATATGTAGCCAGCATAAAGTAATTAATTTTCCTAGAAAAATATAACCTAGATTTGTATGAGTAATGAGTCTATCTGGCACAAGGGACAGGTACATTGAAAAGATATAGAGTAAGTCTGTGATATAATGCACACCAAAGTGCTACAAATTCATACACACACACACACACACACACACATACACACAAAACCCTGACAAAGCAAAGTCAGGAAAAGGGACCTAAAAACAGCTTGGAACAATACTTCTTAAAATTTTTCATATTGTTCTTTCTTCCAAGTTTATGTAAATTAATATTTCAACAGTAATTAAATAAATGTATTTTAATTAATTACTGAGCTGGAATAGAAACTGGGGAGATCTAGGGCTTGTTCCTGCACTATTTAGCCATATAGGATCCCCGAGACAAAATTGTTACCCTTTTAGTTAAGGGAAAAAGCAGTTAAGGCATTATTTTAAAATCTAAATCTTAAGATCTAGGTAATAGAAAGTTCCTTTTTTCTCATTTAAATCCATGTATACTACCTCAGATGGAATCAAATTTACAAAAAAAAAAAAAAAGGTAGGAAACTATATATATATTTCATATACACAGGAAACCTAAACAATGTTTCCTCATCCTCACCACTTCCTATATTCTATCAACACTGAGGATCCACATTCTGTTCTCCTACTAAGGAAATTTCAACTCTGATTTGGCTGCCAAAATCTAAACTATATGCAAAAATGGAAGTGAGAGTACTCAAATAATATTCTGAATGGCAACAGAAAGTCATTAAAAAGAAGAAAGGATTATAGCAAAAGTAAACTGCAAGTTAAGAGTTAGAATATTAGAAGAAATGAGAATTTTACTTCTTACAGAGGTACACTTCAAATTTATTGTGAAGGAGTCTCAGCATATATGTTTAATTCCAAAATGTGTGACAATGATGAGTTATAATCTGAAAGTAAATCTTAGGAACCAAAAATACTTTGATTTCACTTTTGTTTTCTCTTAAACAAGGAGCAGTGTTCCTCTACCTCCCTTACTGTACCATGCACAGATGTTACAGGACAAAAGGAAGAAATCTTAAAAACCAGCACTGGTGAAAATCAAGTAAGCAGTAATATCCAGTACTCTAAGGGTAATTTTTACTTCAAAATATTGTTTGATGGAGCAGCAAGAAAGTACAATGAGAAGACCTTTAGAAAATCAATGAACAGGCAAGTACTGATGGGGCCCTCCCCTGGTGCTGTAAGAAGAGAAAGTCTTGGTTAGGACACTGTAACCCTATGACATCTTTCTTTCCATCTGTCTTAATGGCCCCAAAGGATAAAAGGTCCCTGTAATCTCCCATAGTCTCATTACAATTATCCCTTTTACATAATTTTAATTTTATCCTCTATTCTAATGAAGAAAAATCAACTTGTTATTTTTCCAGAAACTGTTCATCACCTTATCTAGTTTTCTTTAAAATTTCTTTTACAAAAGAAAGTCTCAAAAATCAAAATATTCACAATACATTGAGATTTTCTTTTACCCCATCCTACTATGCAGACTAAATATAGGTACACCTCAAAAGATATTTTAGTATTTGCTCCACCTTTTTGTTACTTTCCTAAAATAATTACAGAACTTACCATTCATTTAACCTTTGAACAGTAAAGAAACCTGATTGAAAAGTTATTAGCTTCAGTTTTACTTACTTTGTAGATACCTAATTATAAGAAATAATGGAACAGAGTTTCAGGAATGGTAAACGACTCATTCAAGTTACATGTTAGTAGAAAGTGGGCTAAAATGTAACCTGCTGCTAACCAAGTATGCTTAACACCCAAAGCATCACAGTGTGGAAATATTCACACCTTGAAAATCGTATGGTACTCAAACTTCCTCTATTATGTTTTCTTTTTTCAAATTCTTTTGAAGATTTATTTATTTATTTGAAAGGCAGAGTTACAGACAGAAGCAGGGGGAGGGAAGGACAGGGAGGGAAGGAGGGAGGGAGAGAGAGAAAGAAAAGAAAAATGAGAATATTCCATGTACTGGGTTTATTCCCCAGAGGGCCTCAGTGGCCTGTGCTAGGCCAGGCCTAAGCCAGGAGCTTCCTCTGGGCCTCCCACATGCGTGCAGAGGCCCAAGCACTTGAGTCATCCTCTCCTACTTTCTCAGGTGCATTAGCAGGAAGTGGTGCAGCCAGGACTTGAACTGGTGCCTACCTGGGATTCCATTGTCAATAGACCACAGCTAAACATGCTACTCCACAGCATTGGCCCCAGAGTATGTTTTTTTCCAAGAATGAATTTTGGAAAGCTATTAAGTAGCACAGTAAACAGAGAATAAGGCTACATATGAGCTCAGCCTGCAATTATCAAAGAATTTATTTCATTTTTCCCTCATATACACCAACTACTTCCTATTGAGTTGAATTTTCAATACTTCCCCCATCTACTTTTGTTGTTCCTCCACACTACACACTAATAATACGTCCCTATTAGGTAACTCTTCAGTTCAGTGGGAGAGAGAAAAGAATATGAAAAAATAAATGTATCTTTGTGAAAAACAAGAGAGTACTTTAAGAAAGTAATGATCTAACATAGAACTAAGATACAGAAAAAAGTTTTGAACATGATTTTTCTAACGATATGAAAAATATCTCTTCAACTGTTAGCGGGCCAATATGTTCAAGATCTCCATAATTCTC